AGAAATTAAACATTTCTTTGCATAATGGAATAACACTATTTGTCTCCTATTGCTATGTTATGATTTTTTATAAATGCAGTAGCTTAAAACAATACACATTTCTTATCTTACAGTTTCTATGGGTCAGGAATTTGGTCACTGCTCAGGGTCTCACACAGCTGCCGCTAAGATATCAGCCAAGCTTGGGGTTCTAATCTCTTAAACCCATTCACCTGATTAAGTCAGGCCCACCCAGGATAACCTCCCTCTGATTAACTCAAAATCTACTGATCTGAAATCTTACTTACATCTGCAAAGTCCCTTCACATTTGCTATTAATGTAACCTAATCTCCATCATTGTTGCCACATTCTGTTGGCTAGAAGCAAATCACAGGTACCACCCACATGGAAGGAAAGGGGATTACACAGGAGTGACACCAGTGGTGGCTGTCATGGAACAGCCTTCTTAGAACTCTGCCTACCACAAGCATAAAACAGGTAGTTAAAAAAAAAAGTGAAATAAAAATATTTAGCAATATAAAGACTTGTTAATGATTATCATTATCATCAAATTAGATTTCCATAACACGGTCCAGATTATCATGGAACACTTACTTAAAATAACAAAAGTTAAGATTATGAATCTTGATCCTCCTAGATAAGACAATAATACTCGTCTAAAATCCACAAGTAATAAACGTTAGACGAAATCGTCAAATTTTACATCAGGGAGGACTAGGGTATGATCAGGTAAAAATCAAGTATTTTAGAGATGAAGAAAATAAAGGTCATTGAGATAGACAATGTACTCAAGTTTTCATATGCAGTTAGTGCAAATAAATTTTCTTCACATTTTGAGAGTTTATAAAATGCAATAATTAACAAATGGAGATGTCAGAAAATATCACCTATAAAGGTAATATTTTAATGACCGTACAAAGAGTGCAGCCTACAGTCATTTGTTTATATGCATCCTACCCTGACTGAGTTTTTGAAATCCTCTTCAAATGGTTATATATTCACGGGGCTGAAATAACGTCATAAGACGACATCTAATATCACTTTTTCCACCTTCCCATGAATAATTACTGACTGCTTAGTGAGGAAATATTTAAGAAAATATTCACAGAAGCAGTCTACTAGGGCTTTACTGAACAAAAGATTCTTAATGGGAAAATCCTTGATGGAAGATTTCTAATTGCTGGTTTCCATAATGAATTAATTTAAAATCCTTGTTAAGGGTAAATGCATTCGAGATTTTTGGCCGCCTAAAAGGAACAACAATGTTCCCTATTTCCATACTAAAGAAGAACAAACAAAATGCATTCACAAAATATTTTATAAGATAACTATAAGCTTAATTCTAATATTCAATATTACAATTCTGATTTATTTATATCCTATTTTTTTCCCAAATAAAAGTGCTCAAATAAATTTTAACTTCCAGGGTTAATGTAGTTAGCTTAGAATCATTAATCTTACCTTGCTAAAATTAATTCATTAAATTCACTAAAATACTTAACATGCAAGTAAATATTAATAACTATATGGGTTTTTAAAAATCTAGGTCATTAAAAATTAAAGATGCCTTATTTTATCATACTGACTGATAACAATCGTGGATATCATTCTAGTCCCATGAGCATTAAAACTAAAATTAATATTGCATGTTAGTTTCATGGAAGGAATGTATAACAGGGAAAATCATAACTAGCCACTTTCTGCACTGATTTCTTTTAGGGTCTACTTTCTTGACTGACTGATTTAACCATTATGATGGCTCACATGGAATATTCTAGAACTTTTATGTTTAGCATCAGTGGTTACGATATTCTAAATGTTACTTAAATCCAACAGATGGCATTTATAGAAATTAGGTAAAATTCTCTTACATAAACTTGCAATTTCAAGAGTGGATCTGGATTTGCGAGATAATCATGATTTGTAAACCATGCCGAGAAAATAAAGGCTGTTTAAAGGCTCCGTTTCATCTGAGTTCAGATTAATTTTCTTGTCAACCTTTAACTCATGTCTCCTATTCTTTGATCTTTTCGAAGTCTCAATATTCTTTGGCATCCTTGTGTTTTTGTTTTGTGATGTTTTCCTTGCTTTCCCCTGTAATTTGATCTTAGAATTTTAAAATATATCACTAGTAAGTTAGCTTTACTGCTCTCTACAGTGAAACTTAGCATGATGAAGGGAAGAAGTTGATTAACACGATACTAGGAACAACGCAGGGTTAAGGATACCTGTACCCGCTCAGTCAAAAATCCATGCATAACTTTTGATTCCCCCAAAACTTAACTACTAAAAACCTACTATTGGCCGGAAGCCTTGCCAATAACATAAACAGTCACTTCACACACATTTTGTATGTGTACTGTAAACTGTATTCTTACAATAAACTGAGCTAGAGAAAAGACAATGTTATTAAGAAAACCATAAAGGAGAGAAAATATATTTACGCATGTATTGAAAAAAATCTGCACGTAAGTGGACCCATGCAGTTCAAAACTGTGCTGTTTAAAGGTCAAGTGTATATATAAAATATTACATATGCCATCACTATATCGTTAAGGATATATGCATAGAAAGCCTTGCTAAACTTTGCTAATTTGAGAAATTATGGTTTTAACTCTACCCTGAATAATGACTGTCCGTGTGCATGATAGATAGGTTATTACACTGAATTTAGGTAGAGAATTATATACTAGTCATTCATGTTCAAAATTTTATAGCTCTCAGCAAACGTTGATAGCCCTATTTGACTTAATGTCATTTTCGTGCCAACGTGCTCGAAAGGTTCTTTTATAGTCATGTTACTTCCTTGGCACGTATGTACCCAAGAAAGGATATCGGTTTATACACGAATAAAATAAAAAAGAAAATGCAATCTGATATATAGAGATCTTCCAAACCAGGAAAAAACATTAAAACATAAATTAATTCACAATTTACAGCCTCATGATATGTGAAACATTTACAAGAGTGAGGAATCAAGTTCACACGCATAAGAGAATTACACCGTTTATGTCATCCCTTTGAGAAAAATGACCCAAAGTTCACCTGCATCTTTTGATTAAGGCCTGGCACTTTTGGTGGGGGAACTCTTAAGATGCTCTTGCTTTTTGATCCCATAAATGTTAGCGTCTGTTCATCTTATATTGTTGAACGGCAGCACTAAAGGACCCTGAATATTCACCGCTAATTAGCAACAGGTTCCTAAGGTTGAAGAAAAGACCAGGCTCAGTGACCGCATCTCACTAGAAGTGCGGGCTGTGAACAGCGGCCGCGTGCTGGGAAAGGACCAACTGACCTCTGATTCGCTATCACAGAGCTGGTGAAAAGGACTGAGCTGCCGGCACGAGTCAAGTTATAATACCTAAAAGTTGTTTTAAAAGCTACAATATAAAACAAGAGCACAAACCAGACATACTGTCATTTTACATTTACATGCAGTTTATAAAATTAATTCACATATTTTTAATATGACGTACCTCTCTAGTCATTCGAGATACATTTACTGAGTGCCAAGCATGGGCCAGGACCACAAGGCGACTGAGGGAGTCACTGGTAAAATCCGGCTGTCCCCCCAGCCCTTGCAGGGCCAGGGGATGGCTGCTTTCTCCCAGGCCCGTCCAAGAATTTTCTCCTAGTATTCTGCATAGCAGAGGGGCTTACTGCAGGCTGATGCCAGACCCTCTAGTCAGGGGGCTTCCCCGACACATCCCATAGCTTACATCTGAGGAGTTCAACCTTGACTCGGTTTCCAAAAAATGTTAAATTAAACATTTTAAATGTAACCACAAAATGTAGGTGATGCACAAAACATGCATATCACACGGTGTGCTACCTTCATAAAGGAAACCTGTCCAGTGGAACTAAACACTATTGTGGAGCTGTAAAAATATTGTTTCTGTAAATTTTAAAGAAGAAACCGCAACCAAAGTGTATTTATACAGAATATTTATATGTATAATAATGTATATTATATATAGTTATATTAAATATTTTAATGCATTTATATTAAATATATATGAAATATATTAACACACATTTTATGTTACATTTTCATTGGACTGGTATTTTATCTCTTTGAAAATGTGAAAATATAAATATTTATTATGTCAGCAAAAGAAATAATGTGTCTACCAGCTGTGGAACTATGGTAGGAAAGAAATAAATGGATCAAAGTGAAGGATGCTAACTCATGGAGGGCATTTCGGACTGAATGTACAACTATTGTTCTTGAAAAGAGCCCATGCCCATATTACAACTTCAGGATGAATGTGAGGAGCAGATTAACCTACCTGTGATTAACCTACCTGTGATTAACCCACCTGTTGCGTTTTTCTCATTGTCTTGCAAAATTAAGACATTGTACATTAAATAAATATATTTTTTTATAAGTACAAGAAATATTGTCAGAGCATATAAAATTACTCAGCTATCTTGGAAACATGAGGATGTGTAAAGGAAAATATGAATTCCTTAGGACTACTGAGACTTTATTTACTAAATCTGTTGTTAAATGTTGAAGTGTGGACATGAATTTAGTGCATATCAGAATGGAACTTTTCAAAAAAGCAAGAAAGTAGCGTTTGAATGGTAAATATTTAGATGTCAATGTGGTTAGAAAAACATGATTTCTAAAATTTTACCAATTCATGGATTAAATAATCATTAAATAATCACAACTCAATCAACCATAAACTCAAGATTATTACAGTTTTCTCACTATGTCAAGATAATGACTAATGACAAGAATTACAATAAAAACGAAGAAAAACCAACAAACTACAGCTCACAGTGAAATTATTTTAAAAAGGTTTAAAAAGTAAATGTTACATGTATATTTCGCTACTGAAATTCTGATCCATACAGGAAACAAATAATTACATTAAAGGAAGCTTCTACCAATTCAATATGGATGAAGTGACGTCACAGCAAAACAAAAACATGCCTAC